GACCGCTTTGAAAAGGTTACATTTAAGTGCAGAATGCGCAAAGAACAATAATCGCGGTGCTCTATTTTGCACATTTTTTTTAACAATCAAATCAGTCCAGTTTGCCAATGCATGGTCGTTTGTTAGTTCGGGCTGTCACTTCCACTTATCTCGAATACTTCATAACTGTCATGCAAAACTCAAACGCTCATTATTCAGCGGTAAAAACGCATGTAACATCCACGAAGGCAGTAAACGATGCATTCTATCATATTTGATTGAGGGCTTTAAGGTTGCAAGAGATCATCCTTTGTCTGAAATTAGCTTCTCCATCCGCCTTTCAACACCTGCACGCCATGACGGAAGTGTCGTTCAAACTTTTCTCTGTACTTCATGATTGACAGCTTATGAAATTCACAATGACCGTTTTCACGAGTGAAGATGTCGGTTTCATCACTTGGATGAAATGAAAAGAACGATTGGACACTTAAACAGGGTCATGCAAATACCAATGTTCTCATTGTCACAACATGTAACACATGGAGATAAATGGATCACAAATAGAAACTGCGTTGTTTAATGTGGGAATATCTGTCACGATTCCATAATCCAATTATATGTCAAGGGTAAAATAAACTGATCGACTTTTTCATAAAGTTAGCGTAGAAGCTTATCAAAGGGGCAAAGCACACTTGGGAATGATGGCTTTTTAAAGACCCATTATCAGTGATCATTTGCGAAACTAATTACCAACCTTACTCGTTTGATCGTTCTGCTTTGTTTGTCGATGTCATTACTTTACAGATGTATCAAACAGTTTACGTGATCCCAGCTTTATGACTATATAAAGCACTTGTCAATATTATGCTGCCATGTTTAACATTGACTTGTATGACAAATATAACTGTATGGTCAATGATCAAAATAACATTCACCACATAATGAAAACTGATCGAGGTTGTAACACAGTATGTGAAAACAACTTTTCGGTATAAAATCCCATTACCTAAGTTCAAAACCGTTGTTTGCACCTAGCACATCGTTTACAATCCTGTAGGGGATTTGGCTGTAACGCCTGAAGCATTTTAATCCATAAATGCTACATTGTCATGGAAATTGCGTTCAGGCGAAACACATTTTCGCACACAGAACATCAAAGAATCTCATTGATAATGTAACACTATGCATATACATTCCTTCACCAGGATGAATTATTTGTGATGTACACAGTCACGTGTCTTCAGCATCAGTGCTTCAGCGCCATCAGTACCAATCATGGTACATGTGCACTTGGATATTGTTGGTTGGTTGGTTGCTGTTTTACGCCGCACTCAGCAATATTCCAGCTATATGACGGCGGTTGGATATTGTGATATTGTGGACTGATGGGCATATGTATCTTCAGCACTGCAGGTGGTTTATTGTGTGTTTGCTGCGTACAACGCAATATCTCCAGCTTTACAAGTTGTAACCTCACCACAGTTGTTGGCAGATAGCAAGGTTGGGTACAGTCATATCACCGTAGCAGTGATGTTGGTAGAGTGATGTATAATAGAGTACATTTTCAGGTACATAACCTCCGCACTTCGGTTGGCAGATAGTATTAGTGTGTGGAATTAAACTACCCAAGCACTGCTGTTGGTAGGTAGTGTAACTGTGCAGAATTTAACTACCCAGCACTGCTGTTGGTAGGTAGTGTAATTGTGCAGAATTAAACTACCCTAGCAGTTCTGTTGGTAGGTAGTGTAACTGCGCAGAATTAAACTACCCCAGCACTGCTGTTGGTGGATAGTGTAATTATGCAGAATCAAACTACCCCAGCACTGCTGTTGGTTGATAGCGTTATTGTGTGGAATTAAACTTCCCAGCGCCGCTGTTGATTGATAACGTTATTGTGTCGAATTAAACCACACCGGCACTGCTGTTGGTAGGCAGTGTAATTGTGTAGAATTAAACCACACCAGCACTGCTGTTGGTAGGTAGTGTAATTGTGCAGAATCAATTACCCCAGCACTGCTGTTGGTTGATAGCGTTATTGTGTGGAATTAAACTTCCCAGCGCCGCTGTTGATTGATAACGTAATTGTGTGGAATTAAACCACCCCAGCACTGCTGATGCGTGATAGCGTTATTGTGTAGAATTAAACCACACCGGCACTGCTGTTGGTAGGTAGTGTCATTGTGTAGAATTAAACTACCCCAGCACTGCTGTTGTTTGATAGCGTTATAGTGTGGAATTAAACCAGCCCAGCACTGCTGTTGGTAGGTAGTGTAATTGTGTGGAATTAAACTACTCAGCACTGCTGTTGGTAGGTAGTGTAATTGTGCAGAAGTAAACCACCCAGCACTGCTGTTGGTTGAGAACGTTATGTGTGGAATTAAACCACCCAGCACTGCTGTTGGTAAGTAGTGTAATTGTGCAGAATTAAACTACCTGTACTGCTGTTGGTAGATAGTGTAATTGTTTACAACTTCATAATTTGTATACTAGTATACGTTTAGTAATGTACCAAAATAGGAACCTGTTAGATGTGTAACTACATAATGGCAACGTATATCATTGATATGGTGATGAGTAGCCTTTAAATCACCATAGAATATAGGACTTTGATGTTAACATAATTGAGCTATTTGTTCTGTGTTATTGATCATTGCCATCTCAAATTGTAGGGAGATCCATCAAGAATTCAGAGATGACCTTTTAAACATTTTGATTATTGTTGCTTATTTTTGGAAATGAAAACTTTAAACTTCATTTAAAGGTTAGTGATGACATCAACACAGACCATTGGTCCCATTTTCTTATTGTTATTTGAAACAAAAGACAGACGTAATTAGTCTCCAACGTTCTGTTTCCTAGTCTATAATCCTGGAAATGTCATAAACATCAACCCGCACTTCAAAAGCTCATTCTCTACTGCCTGTGCTCGTGGGTTTCATCAAAGTGGAAAGCGTCTGAGACCTGCATCACTTCGGGCTTTCCTCCCACATTCAGCTGACACAATGTGATGTAAATGGAATACTGTTCAAATCGGCGATAAACCCCACTCACTCACCCACTTTTACTTCTTGCTTTCTAAATGTGGCATTGCTGTTGCATTACCAACGACAAGATTAGAGTTTAGGCTTTGCACGTGCTTGCATTCTGGCTCACAGGGCGTCTAACCTTGTCAAATATCATCCTTTTCATGGTGTGCTGAGTTCTTTCTTTGTCCACCTGAACACAGTATCCGCCTCCTGGTGTAAAGGTACTCGGTCCGAATCCCAGCAAGATTCGTAGAACGTGTATGACAATTACATTTTGATAAATAATTGTAATATAAATTGAATGTCATGAAAGCAATGAACTTAACCGAACAATTTAAGAATATGGTGTAATAATAAGAACAATTTTATACCCAAATTAACTTCCTCAACGAAACTGAAATATTATATTATTCCAAGTTGTATCTTGTCTCATTTGAACCACTAAATTTAATTACTGTTTTGGTACAGTGGATGTTCTGTTCAGTATCGACGTAATGACAATAACTTTTCCACCTGAACACAGGCATAAGAATCCATCCCTAGTCTCGTCAAACTTAAACCACAAAATTTAAATACCTCTTAGGTTGTGTGGCTGTTCTAGGAACTATAACGGCTGAGATCGCGTCTAACGAGATTCCATTATTATGCCTTCCAACGACCTCCTCAGTCACAGCTGAATGCTAGAGTCATCATTTCTGCACTGACACCGTAAACGCCAAATCGTCGACCGATTCTTATCTCTTCGGAGATATCATATAACGTTAACCATAAACCCGTATCTCGTAACATACCACAACCAGGGTCCCTCGAGAAAACCAAGACGTTTTAGCGATAGAAGAATTATTTCAAGCCATCGTTTGGTGGTGTCCCATGGCGAAGACAAACATCGTTGGTCGTCAGTTATGGGTCTTGGACTGTGATCATCAGATTCCCGGGTGAACAACACATTCATCATGCGGCTGTGGGGATAGACGCTCAGGAAAGAAAAATCGCGATACCATTGGAATTCAATTACCAAGCTCTAGCAAGTATGTGTATGATGGAATAGTGTCCCTTGGGCTTACGTACACTGAAAGAGGAGAAAGCCTGGCTTTTAGTAATCGGTCTTGGTGATGGAAGAATTTTATTCAAAAGTTGAGTTCAGATCTCTAGAAGTAGGATTTTTACACTTTGGTTAGAATTATGTTTAACTTGATATTTCAAGTTTAAAAAGCTTTAAAAAGCTGGGGTCATAAAAAAGTGTTTGTTGTGTAATAAACGTAAATGGATTGCAGATAAATGGTCTAAGATCACTGATCTCATCGGAATATAAAGGATGGTCCGGAAAATGTGAACATTATCTAAATAAGAATAAAATTTGATAGGTTTTGATATAAATGACAGATTATGGTTTGATTCATTTATACCACTTTTGGCCTTTTCCATCCCAGTTTACTACCTTTTGCGAATATTATGACTCGAGTATCATCGTAACTCGGCTGTCGAGATATAGAGCATCCTGCCAAAGGTTTCGTGCGTGCACAAAGGGACACAACTCTGCACAGCAAACTGCGGCGCATCAGACGACCTGGCCACCCATGGAGAGGAGTGGGGGGGGGGGGGGGGGGGGGGGGGGGGGGGGAATGCTCACCTTTTTGCAACATCTGGTTTCAATATGTCAGCTCGATGGGAGGAAAGACCGCGTTTACCAAATTCGAATTACACACGATGGCTCACACAAATCTAGAAACATAATAACGGCGAATCTGGGATTCGAACCCATGAACATAGCTCTGGACGCATTTCAGCACAGCGGATTGTGGCGTCTAAGATTTACACCACCGCAATAACCATAAATGTGAACTGATAGATAACATTACTTTTCCTTCATATATCTCCCCCCCTCCACCTCCAATCCCTCCTGCCGTTCCTGCCCCTCCACCCCCCTGCTCTTCCGTCTCTTCCACCCCTCCCCCTGCTCTTCCTTCTCTTCAACCCCCCCACTGCTCTTCCTTCTCATCCACCCCTCCTGCTCTTCCGTCTCTTCCATCCCTCCTGCTCTTCCTTCTCTTCCACCCCTCCTGCTCTTCCGTCTCTTCCACCCCCTCCTGCTCTTCCACCCCCCCCCTGCTCTTCCATCTCTTCCACCCCCCTGCTCCTCCTTCTCTTCCACCCCTCCCCCTGCTCTTCCTTCTCTTCCACCCCTCCTGCTCTTCCTTCTTTTCCACCCCCTCCTGTTAATCCTGCCCTTGCTCTTCCTTTCTCTTCCACACCCTTCTGCTCTTCTTTCTCTTCCATTCCCTCTTGTTCTTCCTGCCCCTCCACCCCCTGCTCTTCCTTCTCTTCCACCTCCTCTTCTTGCTCTTCCTGTCAACTCCGCCCTTCCGGCTCTTCCTGCTCCTCCTGCCTTTCCACCCTTCCTTCCTGTTCATCCTTCTCCTCCACCCTCCTGCTCTTCCTCCTTCTCCTGCTCTTCCTACTCTTCCTGTCCCTCCTGCTTTTCCTTCTCCTCCTCCTTCTCTTCCACATCCTCCTGCTCTTCCATCCCCTCTTGCTCTTCCTGTCCCTCCATCTCCTCCTTCTCCTGCTCTTCCATCTCCTCCTCCTTCTCCTCTTCCTGTCACCTCCAACCCTCCTGCTCTTCCTGCTCCCCCTTCTCCTCTTCCTTCTCTTCCACCTCCTCCTGCTCTTCCGTTCTCTTCCAAACCCTTCTTCGTCTTCCATTCCCTCTTGCTCTTCCTGCTCCTCCACCCCCTGCTCTTCCTTCTCTTCCACCTTCTTTTGCCCTCCCTTCTCTTCCACCTCCTCTTGCTCCTCCATCTCTTCCACCCCTCCTGCTCTTCCTGTCCATCAACCTCCTCCTGCCCTTCCATCTCTTCCACCTCCTCCTGCTCTTCCTTCACTTCCATTCCCTCCTCCTCTTCCTGTCACCTCCAACCCTCCTGCTCTTCCTGCTCCTCCTTCTCCTCTTCTTGCTCTTCCTGTCACCTCCACCCTTCCTGCTCCTCCTGCCTTTCCACCCTTCCTTCCTGTTCATCCTTCTCCTCCACCCTCCTGCTCTTCCTCCTTCTCCTGCTCTTCCTTCTCCTCCTCCTTATCTTCCACATTCTCCTGCTCTTCCATCCCCTCTTGCTCTTCCTGTCCCTCCATCTCCCCCTTCTCCTGCTCTTCCATCTCCTCCTCCTTCTCCTCTTCCTGTCACCTCCAACCCTCCTGCTCTTCCTGCTCCCCCTTCTCCTCTTCTTGCTCTTCCTGTCACCTCCACCCTTCCTGCTCTTCCTGCCTTTCCACCCTTCCTTCCTGTTCATCCTTCTCCTCCTCCTGCTCTTCCACCTCCTCCTGCTGCTCTTCCTGCCCCTCCACCCCTCCTGCTCCTTCTCCTCCTGCTCTTCCCGCCCTTCCTGTCCCTCCACCCATCCTCCTCTTCCTTCTCCTCCTGCCTTTCTACCCCTTCTGCTCCTCTCTCCTCCACCCTCTTGCTATTCCTCCTCCTCTTCCTTCCCCTCCTCCTGCTCTTCCTTCTCCTCCTCCTGCCCTTCCTCCTCCTCCTGCTATTCCTCCCCATCAATCCCATCCAACTCCTCTTGCTATTCCTGCCCCTCCACCCCTCCTTTTCTTCCTCCCCTCTACCCCTCCTTCTCTTCCTGCGCCTCCACCCCATCCACTCCCGCCTGCTCTTTCTTTTCCTGCACCCGCTCCGGCTCTTACCCCCCGCCCCACCTCCGCCCCACTACTCTTCCTCCTCCACATCCGCCTCCTTATATTCGTCCTCATTATACAGAGTTGTCGGTGTGAGTCTCAGATTCGTCACTTTTCTGAAATATAGTAAACGCATGCGTGATAGGTCGTTTTCAGCTTTCCTCCCACTTTAAGCGAGTAGTTAAAATGAACTCACTCGCTGATATGGATGCAGTGAAACCTTTTCAGTACCGTTATTACCACAAAAATAATTAATGTAGGTATTTCACAATTGCATTTAGTTTGATCATTGTCTAAAAACCACGATTTAAATTCATAATTCCTATTTATTAAACAAACTCATTAAATGTTTTTATATGATGATGAGTGAAATGAAACTCAATGATTGAGAATGTTGGAGTTTATCAGCAAGTGTTGTCCTTGAAAAAGTGACGTGACTGAATAATCAGGAAGGTTGAAGTGACAAGCAAAAGAGTAATGCTTGATTATATGCCGAATTTAAGAGCGAAATAAATCCCCGAGGGACGGTACAAAGCACACAGCCAGGCGTTTTGCATCTAGGAAAGTTGCCAGTAGTAATTCGATTTAAAGAAGAACTATATTCCGTAATTGCAAATGCAATCGCATCAAATTATTTATCATTTCAAAGTTTACAAACGAGGCGACAATCGTGAAATTATTAGGGTTTAGGATCAATTTGTACGAAATACTTTATATTATAAAGTGGTGTGAGATAATGAGGCTCAATCATGTGCAGCAAGCTCCTGTAAAAACCATTATCATGGAACAAGCAGTCTTCGCCCTTCCATTCTATGTTAGCGCTACCTTCCTGCCTTGTCTGACTCTCAGGCTCTGGCGACCAATGCAAAAATCGAATCTTTTTGTTCTGTTTTGTTTCTCTAGCGAATCTCAAATTCCTGTTAAATTTCTCCCAGGCTTTTGTTCGGTAATGGCTTGATTAAGGCGTCGATAAAACTCGACTTTCTTCACAGATACGCACCACAGCTTTAATGGAGGAAAAATGGACCTGCCAGTTTTAATTCCGCGTTTTCATGTCCTATTACCAAGTTCCAACTTTGAAGTCGTGGCTGATAATTATTCAAACCACTACGGGATTGTCGCACAGAAAATTTGGTTTCATTTGTAGAATCCCTTTTTTTCTTTTAAGTCAACAGAATCTTCTCATCGCACTGGTCCAACGATTCTAAGGCAGCAGCCGACCTATAGGGCCTTTCCTGGTAAACCAAATTCCAATCAGTCACTGAGTAAATAGGTGAGTGATTTAAAGAAATTCTTGTCAATCTTCCTACAATCATCTCAATGAGATTCGCTGCAATCTGAATGACATTTCAATCATTGGGTAGTCGATACAACGTTCGGTCCGTGTCCGAGGCTGCTGGATACAATTAAATTGCTTCGACAGACGCTAGATAATTATTGCCATAGATAGTAGACGTGTTCCATTTGTTAATAAATGATTAATCAAAGTGTTCGTATCAGTCACTCCCTAGTCAGACGAGACAGAAGATTCGCGAATAAAAGTTCAGTTGTATATTCGTAACATTACACAATGTGTACAGCAATTTATCTAATCGAATACTCATTAGTAGGGTCATGTCGCTGTTCTGATGGAGATGCAGTCACGGAAATCAAAGGGATGCTACTTTGATAATGAAACATTTGCTATGTCATAGGCGCCTAGAGGCCAGATGCAGTCTGTCCGACATACTGACGGTGCGTTTCAACAAAAGATATGAAGTTGCAACAGGGTAGAATAACACAGTTCCCATTAGACTGAGAGAACACTGTAAAGAGTTCCACGAATGGCCACTTCTAGGTTTCTCCGACCCCTAAAATCTATTGGTAATATAACACTACACTACACTACACTGAAAACATATAAAACTGCCACAAGAAAACACTTCATAGTGCTAACAGGCAATGTTTGAGAAAGAAGCACTTTTCTATACATATTAGATTAATCCAATCAGGTGTTTCAATCAGCGGTGGTTATTTTGATTTGAAACCTCTGATTGACCTATGAGGATTTCCACGGTTGTGTTAAAAAAAACCACATTGATTATTTGCATTTGAGACCTATCAGCTCGTTATTACATGATTTCATTTCCACCATAAGAGAAATGAGAGACAATATATGTGCAGACATTGATAGCATTCTTTACGCGAACAAATCGAATGAAAGCGTGGAATGATTAGAAAACGCCTCCCCATAATAATAAATGAAAAACTATAAAAAAAATAAACAAAAATAAATATACAAATTTTTGTTTTGGCTGGCTCTCTGATCAGGGCAAAACATGCATGTCTGGAGGCAGGGACCACTACCCATCAAAAGTTTAGACTCACCAGTGTAAATGTAGCCACTCACTATACTCAGCCGTTCACAACCAGATAATGCTAAATATTCTAAACTTTTTACAGGTACTGTTAACACATGAACTGATGTGGCGTAAAACCAAATCTAAAACGGTGAAAAGATTAGAGTTTTGAGTTCATTAATTGATAAAACTCAGTGAAATGTCGCAAATATTTAAACAAAACTTCGCACCAAAACGCAGCTGTTGACATACACGATAATGCACGTGTTTTAGCAGCAATTTGACGCGGGTTACTCGTGCAATTCATCTTTATAAGGATTGCAGTTGGCTCCTCTGAGTTAGTGGAGAAATTCTTCTTTGATGCAAGCATGGGTAGAGGGAGAAGTCTCCGTATTGAGCAACGACATCAAGCCTTAGCACTGCTACAAGATGGCAGATCACAACGGTATGTTGCCAGACGTCTTGGCGTATCCCGAAAGGCAGTTTCCAACATCTGGGTACGCTTTCAACAGACCAACTCCGTCCAGGATCGACCCAGGTCGGGTAGGACTAGGGTAACATCACAGCAAGATGACCGATACGTCTGTTTGCTGGTTCTCAGGGGCAGACACATTACACCACAGCAGCCAATAATGCTTTCCAACAAGCTACAGGACGACGTGTATCTGTATCAACAATACGCCGCCGATTACGTCACTACGGACTGCGGTCACTACGGACTACGGACTGAATTGGGCAAATGGACATTTACGCTGGGGTCCCCGCAGATGGGCAAGGATACTCTTCTCCGACGAATCAAGCTTCAATCTGCATTTCAACGATGGCCGGATCCCAGTCTACATACGTCAGGGAGAGCGGTATGCTGACGTTGCTGTTGTGGAGCACGATCGGTTTGGAGTTGGATCCGTTATGGTCTGGGGAGGTATCACCATGACTGGAAGAACTGATTTACTGGTACTGGAAGGAAATCTGACTGGGCAGAGATACAGGGACGAGATCATCATTCCCATTGTGCTTCCATTCTTAAGGGCCATGTCAGGTCACGCGGTTTTCCAAGAAGATAATGCCAGGACTCACAGAGCTCGCATCGTGACAGCTTGTTTATAAAAAAAATGGGGTGAATCGAATGGATTGGCCAGCATTATCGCCCGATATGAACCCCATTGAGCATGTTTAGGATCTGCTGGGACGGCATGTTTATGCCAGAGTTCCCCAGCCAAACATGTGATATATACGACACGGAAACACACTCGGTGAATAATCCCTAGGTTTCAAACAAACTTCCAAGAAATATGAAATGGCCGTTCCCTAAAGGCTGTACTGCATCAGGAGAATCGAATCTGAGTCCTTCTGATTCTTACTGAATGCTTCTGATAAGAATGTTTTGATATCAACGATCATATATACTACCGGGAATATTCATAAGGTATATTTGCGATGCATCTGTGTCCTTGTGATTTATTCTGAATGCCTCTAATAAGAATGTTTTGATACCAACAAGCATTTATGTTGCCGGGAATATTCATTAAGGTATAGTTTAGACACATTGACAAATCTATATCCTTAAGATGTTTACAGTTATTTTATTCTTGTTGTGCAATTCACAGAGCATGCTTAGGCTACACAACGTGATAAATGAGGGTCTTCCAGGGTTTGCAGTACTTCAGAGGCCCGGGTATGAATCATTCTGACATAACATCGTGTCTCATGACGCTGAGCTTCGGTGGGATTACGTTACTTGTTATTAAGGAATTAATTGAATAAAGTCTCCATTGCAAGGCTGATTGATTTATTGCGCTCAAAAGTCACTTCCTAGTTCCTTAGGACTTCGTTTTGGAGGATTCATGAAAATGGCTGGAACTTACTCTAAGATGGGTAAATCATTCTTTTCGTGACCGTGCAATGATCTGAAATAATGTTTCTCAACAATAGATCCATGAGGCTATCGTTGTAGGACTGAAAAACCGCAAATTGGCCCAAAAAATCAGAATGTTAAGATGATGCAGTAGACTTGGGCGCCAGAGTCGGCTGGTATTTGGCTCCAATCATAGATTCTTCCAGAATCTGGATTTTTCAGCACTATTAACGTGATCAATTCATCAATAGGATCAATATATAATTACTGTTACATTACAACTACCTCTTCAGGACATGTTTCTTCTACTGACAGTATTATCGTCACTAGGTCCATGCCAGAAATACTGCTAACCATTATGACTGCTTCTCTAAGCGATGTGTCTACCACTGCTACTCTCATCAAAACTAACACTATGCTATAACTAGTTAACCTTCACGACTACTTCCTTATGCCATATATGTTTACTACTGCAAATTCCATCATTACTAACGCCATGCTACAACTACCGTTAATCATTATAGCCACTTCGTAAAGCCATGTGTCTACTGCGGCTGATGCCATGCCACAACTACTCCGTGAAGCCATGTGTCTACCATTGCTACTCTCATCAAAACTAACATTATGCTATAACTAGTTAACCTTCACGACTACTTCCTTATACCATATGTTTACTACTGCATATTCCATCATTACTAAGGCCATGCTACAACTTCCGTTAATCATTACTAACGCCATGCTGCAACTACTTCGCGAAGCCATGTTTCT